CAGAGCACTCCCAGACTAGTCCCATACCTGAGAGTATGACTTCAAGCCCTATCTCGCTCTCTCACATATCCCATCAAAGCATGAAGAATTTATCTGTCTCAACTTAAAAGCAAGATTCTTTAGAATTCTTTACCATATTCCAATTCTTTAGAATTATGGTACAAAGTAGTCAGTGAGAAAAGACTCCAAATACAGAATATAGTTTATAAATAAAAAAGAAAAATCAGTAAGAAAAAAAGAAAAAGATTTTTCTTTTCTAAAAAAGAAAAATTTTCAGATTACTGAAAAATCAGTAATCTGATGTAATCTGTAATTTTACATCAGTAATCTGATGTAAAAATTATGTGCAATACTGATCCAAATCTAGAAGTTGATTGCCTCATCCAATTTAAGTACAAAGTAATGACTTCTAAGAGAAGTAAACAAAAAATTTATAAAGAACCTATTGAAATTTGAAGTAATTATAATGAGGTGGCAAATTCATTTATAAGGAGACTTCAGTAAGAAACCTAATTTTAGACTTTCTATCCTTCATAAATTTTCATAGTAAGCAATATTTGAGATGAATACCAAACTTGTTAAATTATATAAAATAGAGATTGGGGTGCCTGGGTGGCTTGGTCAGTTGAGCATCTCACTCTTGGTTTCAGCCAGGGTCATGATCTCCTGGTCATGGGATCGAGCCCTGCGTTGGGCTCTGCATTCAGTGCAGTGTCTGCTCCAGGTTCTCTCTCTCTCTCCATCTTCCTGTCTCCCTGCTCGTGTTCTCTCTCTCTCTCAAATAAAATCTTTAAAATAGAGATTAATACCAATCATCATATTGTTGTAAAAATTAAATCATATCATGTGCCAGCTTAGTAAATTGTATTCTAAAAACTTTTGTTAATAAATGAAACCAGATGTTGGAAAGACTTGTAAGATTTCAGCTTAATCTTTATTCTGAAGGCAACATGATTGAAAGGATCGTAGACTTTTAAAGTCATGTGGGTGGCTCAGTTGGTTGAGTGTCTTCGACTTAGGTCATGATCCCAGAGTCCCAGGATCGAGTCCTGCATTGGGCTCCCTGCTTGGTGGGGAGTCTCCTTCTCCCTCTGCCCTTCACCCTGCTCCTGCTTGTGCTCTCTCTCTCTCTCTCTCTCTTTCAAATAAATAAAGTCAGATACTTGGATTTGAATCCCACCTATATTTATTTTTTTTTAAATAAATAAATAGGGGCGCCTGGGTGGCTCAGTCGTTAAGTGTCTGCCTTCGGCTCAGGTCATGATCCCAGGGTTCTGGGATCGAGCCCCGCTTCAGGCTCCCTGCTCGGTGGGAAGCCTGCTTCTCCCTCTCCCGCTACCCCTGCTTGTGTTCCTGCTTTAGCTGTCTGTCTCTGCCAAATACATAAATAAAATTAAAATAGATAAATAAATAAATAAAGTCAGAAACTTGATTTGAATCCCACCTATATTACGCTATAGGCAAAGAGAAAGCATCAAAAGAATGAAATATACAAAGAAAAGCAGACCAATGGGAGGGAAAAGGCCAATTAAATGACATTTATAAGGTGTTGTAATTAAATAAACAAAATAACTCAACTCCCAACTGAAAATACTATACCCAGTGAAAATATCCTTCAAAAATGATGATATAAAATTATCCTAATTGTAGGGGCACCTGGGTGGCTCTGTCAGTTAAGCGTCTGACTCTTGATTTCAGCTCAGGTTTTTGAGATCAAGCCCCACATCAGGCTTTACACTCAGTGCCAGAGTCTGCTTGAGATTCTCTTTCCCTCTCCTCCCCCCACCCCTGTGTGCTCACATGTGCGTGCGCTCTCTCAAAATAAATAAACAATAATAAATAAATAAATAAATAAATAAAATCTTTAAAAAAATTATCCTAATTATAAGCACAGGATTACAGAAAGAAATAAAGATTACCTGAGAAAGCAAATATGTAAGAAATATAAAAGAATATCATTTGTTAAAACAACAACAATAGGGCGCCTGGGTGGCTCAGTTGGTTAAGCGACTGCCTTCGGCTCAGGTCATGATCCTGGAGTCCCAGGATCGAGTCCCATATTGGGCTCCCTGCTCAGTGGGGAGTCTGCTTCTCCCTCTGACCCTCTTCCCTCTTGTGCTCTGTCTCTCATTCTCTCTCTCTTAAATAAATAAATAAAGTCTTAAAAAAAACCACAACAATAATGTTTGCTGTGGTTTATTGTTATGTGTATGTAGAAATAAAATATAACAACACAGTAAATAGAGTTGAAATGTTTTAAGTTTCTTGCATTGTTTATTAAGTAAATAAAGCACTAACAGTATAGATTCTAATAAGTCAAGGATGCACAGAACAAACCAGACCAATAGAAAATAAATAGCAAAACAGTAGGCTTAAACCCAACTGTGTCAGGAGAAACATTAAATATAAATGTACTAAGCATTCTAAAGGACAACAGTTGTCAAACTAGATAGAAAAACAAAATCAAGGCAAAGTGTTATTAGACTGGCACAGGGAATTTCATAATGATAAAAGGGTAATTTAACAAAGATATAATAACTTTAAATTTGTACACGTCCAATAATGTAGCCTTAAAGTATATAAAGCAAAAAATTAATAGAACTAAAAAGAGAAAGAGACAAATCCATTTTCATAGGTAGAGCTATTAATATACCTCTCTCAGTAACTGATAGAACAAGCTAACAACAAAAAAGAAAGAATGTTAATGATTTGTATAATGTGATTAAACGACTTGACTTCATAGGCAGATGTAGAACACTACCCCCTCAACTGCAGGATATACCATATTTCCAAGTGTACATTAACATAATGTAAATCTGGAAGAAGAATAACTAGCTCCCTGGCTAGATTGGCTGTATCTCATTGAGGGACTTGACAGACAGGAACTTGTCTGTGTGATCCATTCTCACCTAATACCCCTCAAGCTTTCTGGCTATTTTTCTTTGTAAAAGTATCACATAGCACTCACCTCTTCTTTCATATTGTTAATTTGTTGTTTTGTTTTTTTAGTTTTTATATTCTCTTCCTTATTACTTTTAATCAAACAGGCATTTTCCTGTGTATCATTTGGAACTGAGTAACATCAATTCGGTGGGTGGGTTAGCAGGATATTTCAAATTTCAGTTCCTCCTTTTGCCTCTAGCAAGTAAGATGCCTGTGAACACCTGGTGGTGCTTAGCTCCATTTCTGTAAGTGTCATCATTAACATATGCTAAATATTATATGATATATCTGCAATGTCTTGAGGTCTCATTGACATTTCATAATTGGGAGTTTACTGTCTTAAAGCACTGACTCTTAAAAGGGATACCATGTATTCACCCACGTGCCACTCCTGGGGGTGCATCCCGGATACCACTGAGGGGAAATTGCTGTGACAGGAGTTGTTCTGATATCTCTGCAAGTGAATTTATACAAATATGGTCTGGTGTTATAATTAACTAGATTCTCTTGCATTTCATGGAAGGAGTTAGAGTAGTTGAGACACAGAATGTGTTCAAGTAAATCATGCAACTAGGAAGAAAAGAGTCATTGTCCTCTTGTCTCCATCTGTTGGACTTCAGTAGCCAGAACGCTGTTTTGGCCTAAGTTATCAATATACAGCAAAATAATGCATCCAGCAGTCACTCTGATTGTGACACTTGTATAAATCTGACTTTCATCAGCAGGTTTCCCTAGACTCACATCTATCAACTGAAAAAAGATTGGATTTGGCAACTGTTTCTTAAGAAAAAATAATAAATGCTTGTTGATTGTGTATTTTCTTTTATGAAAAACTACAGTTTTAAAAGAAACTTTTTTTAGTGCATATATTATGCCCATTTAGCTCCCCAAAAAAGAGCGTTATTTGCTTCAGATGTGAAAATGTGTACAATAAGCATGTTAACTTACTATATGTGATAATATAGTATGTGGTCCTTGATGTATTTCTGTAAAGTAAAGGTTCCACTTTAATTCCAGGATGGTTATTCCACATGACTCTTTTTTTCTTCTCCTCTAGACTTCTCCAGAGAACCCTGGGACAGTAGGTGGAGTGCAAAGCTGTATTGTGTTGCCTTCCTGCTTTTTTTGTTGCTTTCCTGCTTTTATTTATTTTATTATTATTATTTTTGGCCCAGTCTTGGCTGCTCCTTTTCTGCCACTAAAGCTAACTAACTAAACCCTGCATGTGTGGTCATTATGAGGGATTCATTTCATTTTCATTTCAGTCCCGCACATATACCGTGTCAGTTATGTTTATTGTCATATCCTTAAGATCATGATTGTCCCTGATGTACTATTGTGATAGGCAAACTGGAATCCCACCTCTTCTTTCCAAAAAGATTACACTTTAAAGCACTCTCTGTAATGCCCCAGCTCCAGGCTCCTTCCAGTGCTCCAAACTTAGGGTCTTGTGAAGGGAAAAAATAATCTGAAAAACGGATACAAGTAAGGTGTTAACATTTTACCCCCTCTGAACTATTAATCTCCTGAAAGAGGAGGGCAGGGGGAGGGGAGTGTTTAGTAGAGAATGATGACTCACTCACTAAAGATGGAACTCCCCATTTCGGTGACACCACAGGCAAAATGTTAGCTGGGGAAGCCCTCCCCCGTGCCAAGAGGATGAGAGTGGCAACAGCAATAGGCTGCACTGGGGCAAGGTCTCATGCATATTGAAAAGACACCCACATTTCTGTGTGTTTGTGTGTGTGTGTGTGTGTGTGTGTGTGCGCGCGCGCACCTTTAAGAGATTTTGAGCTGGTTATGATCGTCTCATTGAATTTTTGTCCTAAAATGATGTCAGCTTGGTTTGGTTCCTTTTCCCTCTTAGTAATTTATCTGTTATGGATTTTGATGTTTGGTGTCCATGTGATGTCAAGGAATCTGTCTGCATGATTGTTTATCATTGCTCTCATCCTTTTGAACTACCACAGGAAGAGAGGGGAAGGGACCTTTTAAAAATTATGCTGACATAATAAATTGGCTGTTCTTTTCCCTGTGTGCCTTTCACCATACTACAGAAGAAGCAAGCCAGCCCACCGCAGATCCAGGCATGGTCATGGACAGTGTGGAAGCAGGAGACACAACGCCTCCCACCAAAAGGAAGAGCAAGTTCTCAGGCTTTGGCAAGATCTTCAAGCCCTGGAAATGGCGGAAAAAAAAAAGTAGTGATAAATTCAAAGAGACATCAGAAGGTGAGACATTAAGATTTAAATATATGTCTTGAGTTAGAGAGTTTCTTATTTTAGAAGTATCTAACTTTCTCATTCTCTTCCCAAGCTTCTATAACCCCCTATTTGAAGAGGGAATTCAATCTTTTAGCAGTAAAACCAAGTGGTCATTCATTAAGTCTTATATACTATAGTCTCATCCCCAGATTGCTATTTTGATGGAATTAAAGTTTATCAAGTGGTGAATGGAGTTCCTGAATGGTAGAAAATCTAAGATGCTTTTTTTTCTACTCTGACCACTTTCAGAAAAAGTTCATCCACAAATACCTTATTACTGAAATGACAATTAAAAAAGAAAGAGCTAAAATTATATAAGGATAGTTCCTTTTGAAAATGCTGCATTCCTAATAACATAGGATATGAAAGAAATTGTTTTTAAATTTGAAGTTAGTTTTCCTGTTCTTTCCAGAGAACAGAAAATTGAACCACTTTATTCTTTTACCTGTTGAGTTAGACTGCTTAAAATTGACCCTTAACTGCCACATTTCTGAGTGCTGTTTTCCAATTTAATATTAAGTTTTAGAGCGAAAAATATCTATGCGAAAACCAAGGGAAGAGTTGGTTAAAAGAGGGGTTCTGTTGGAAGACTCTGAGCAGGGTGAGTTTATAAATAAAATACTATATGTCTGTCTCTATACACTTGGTGTTTGATTCTGACTAGGCATTTGAATTTTCTTTTGTTACTGCTGTTGGGAGGGAGGGGAGATTTTTTAAAGCTGTTCATGCATCTAGAATATTTTTTTTCAAACTTCTACAAAAGAGAAAAAGACAGCTCAGTAGAAGAGTCTACAAAGGCACTGGACAGGGGCGCCTGGGTGGCTCAGTTGGTTGAGTGACTGCCTTCGGCTCAGGTCATGATCCTGGAGTCCCGGGATCGAGTCCCACATCGGGCTTCCTGTTCAGCGGGGAGTCTGCTTCTCCCTCTGACCCTCCCCCCTCTCATGCTCTCTCTATCTCATTTTCTCTCTCAAATAAATAAAAATCTTAAAAAAAAAAAAAAGACCTGGGGTGTCTGGGTGGCTCAGTTGTTAAGTGTCCGCCTTCGCCTAGGTCATGGTCCCAGTGTCCTGGGATCGAGGCCTGCATCGGGCTCCCTGCTCCGTGGGAAGCCTGCTTCTCCCTCTCCCACTCCCCCTGCTTGTGTTCCCTCTCTCACTGTGTCTCTCTCTGTCAAATAAATAAATAAAATCTTTAAAAAAAAAAAAAAGCACTGGATAGTTGACTAAAGAATATATACAAATGGGGCACCTGGCTGGCTCAGTCAGTGGAGCATGTGACGATTAGAGGGTCATGAGTTTGAGTCCCATGTTGGGCATAGAGATTACTTTAAAAAAAAATTTTTTTTTTAAGATTTTATTTATTTATTTGACAGAGACACAGCGAGAGAGGGAACACAAGCAGAGGGAGAGGGAGAAGCAGGCTTCCTGCTGAGCAGGGGTCCCAACGCAGGGCTCGATCCCAGGACCCAGGGATCATGACCTGAGCCAAAGGCAGACTGAGCCACCCAGGCGCCCCTTAAAAAAATTTTTTTAATAGTTTAGCATAATCTGTGAAAGCTGGAGATATGCACATCTATGTACAAGCATGTTCAGAACTTGGTATATACTCAACGAAAATATGTATACATGTGTATCAGGAGATGTGTACAAATGTGCTTGTAGCAGCAACATTTACTAACAATAGAGCAAAATTGGAAACAACCCAAATGTGCACTGATACTAAAATATATAGGGTTGCCTGGGTGGCTCAGTCAGTTAAGTGTGCAACTTGATTTCAGCTCAGGTCATGATCTCAGGGTCATGAGATTGAGCCCCACGTCGGGCTTCGTGCTCAGCATGGAGTCTGCTTAGGATTCTCTCCCTCTGCTCCCCCCCGCCCCCCACTCATGCAGTCTCTCTCTCTCACTTTCTCTCTCTCAAATAAATAAATAAATCTTTAAAAGGAAAAAAATGTTTCCAGACCCTTGAAGCCTCCCTTCCCTCCTACTAACACACCTGTCCTTCCCTCACAGAGCAATCACTCTTCTAACTCTTGTGATAATCCTCTTTGTTTTATTATAGTTTAACCACTTAAGCATGCATCTCTAAACACTGTAGTTTAAGATTGCCTGTTTTTTCTTAACATTTATAGAAATGATACATATCTTTTCATGACTGACTTCAGTTGCTCAGTATTATGAGAATCATAGCATGCAGGTGTGGTTTGTTTTCATTGCTGTATAATATTTCATTTTATTAATGTATCACAAGTTATTTATATATATATATATATATATATTTTTTTTTAAGATTTATTCATTTTTAGGGGCACCTGGGTGGCTCAGTCATTAAGCATCTGCCTTTGGCTCAGGGCATGATCCCAGGGCCCTGGGATAGAGCCCCACATTGGGCTCCCTGCTCAGCGGGGAGTCTGCTTCTCCCTCTCCCACTCCCCCTGTTTATGTTCCCTCTCTCGCTGTGTCTCTCTCTGTCAAATAAATAAATAAAATCTTTAAAAAAATAGTTATTCATTTTTAGAGACAGAGCACATGTGAGCGGGGCGGGGGGCGGGAGGGCCAGGGAGCAGATGGAGAGGAGAGAAACAGACTCCTCTCTGAGCACAGAGCCCAACAGAGGGCTCTATCTCACAACCCTGAGGTCATGACCTACACTGAAGTCTGACACTTACCCAACTGAGCCACCCAGGCACACCCTCTGGAAACATTTCTTTCTTTCTTTCTTTCTTTCTTTAAATTCAATTAATTAACATATAGTGTATTATCAGTTTCACAGGTAGAGTTCAGTGATTCATCGGTTGCATATAACACCCAGTGCTCATTCCATCACGCACCCTCCTTAATGCCCATCACCCACTTACTCCATCTCCCCACACACCTCCCCTCCAGCAATCCTCAGTTTGTTTCCTATAGTTTTTTTTTTATTTTTTTTTAAAGATTTTATTTATTTGAGAGAGAGAGAATGAGAGATAGAGAGCACGAGAGGGAAGAGGGTCAGAGGGAGAAGCAGACTCCCCGCTGAGCAGGGAGCCCGATGCGGGACTCGATCCCGGGACTCCGGGATCATGACCTGAGCCGAAGGCAGTCGCTTAACCGACTGAGCCACCCAGGCGCCCTTTTTAAAAATTTTTTATTATTATTTATTTTATTTATTTTAATTTTAATTTTTTTTGTTTCCTATAGTTAAGAGTCTCTTGAAATAGGTCAATCAGAGAAGGACAATTATCATATGATCTCACTGATATGAAGAATTTGAGAAACAAGACAGGATCATAGGGGAAGAGAGGGAAAAATGAAACAAGGTGAAACCAGAGAGGGAGACAAACCATAAGAGACAGGAAACAAACTGAGGGTTGCTAGAGTCGTGGGGGGTGGGAGGTATGGGGTGGCTGGGTGATGGACATTGCGGAAGGTATGTGCTATGGTGAGCACTGTGAATTGTGTAAGACTGATGAATCACAGACCTGTACCCCTGAAATAAATAATACATTATATGTTAATAAAAAAAAAAAGTCTGTTACAGTTTGTCTCCCTCTGTGATTTCGTCATTTTATTTTTCCATCCCTTCCCTATGATCCTCTGTTTTGTTTCTTAAATTCCACATATGAGTGAAATCATATGAGAATTGTCTTTCTCTGACTAACTTATTTCGCTTAGCATAATACTCTCTGGTTCCATCTATGTCATTGCAAATGGTAAGATTCATTTTTTTGATGGCTGAGAAATATTCCATTGTGTATATATGTATGTATGTATATATATATGCACCACATCTTTATCCGTTCATCTGTCAATGGGCATCTGGGCTTTTTCCACAGTTTGGCTATTTGGAAACATTTCTTAATGTCCTTGATGATCACAAAAGTGTCCTTGTAATATCTCATTGAAATTTACATTTATGTTTTATATATTTTTCTCTACTAATGTTATACTTGACAATAAAAAACTAAATAAGATATTTTAGGAGAATTCAATGCTGTGCTATCTATATTTGATTTATTTAAGGAAGGCAAATATTTTTTGTGGGAATGAAAATATCTAGTGAAGGGAAAATATTAAAACATAAGCAAGAATAACTGATTTTTTTTAAGGAATCTCAACTTAGGGATGTAAATATGAAATGATTTTATTATAATAATTACCTCCTAATTTCCTATACTAAAGGTGGCCATTTTCTTGGTGAGGGGTTAAAAAAAAAAAGGACTGTTCACTCTTCCTTCCAGGTGTCTACCCTAACTGGCTATGATTTTTTTTTTTTTTAAGATTTTCTTTATTTATTTGACAGAGAGAGACACAGCGAGAAAGGAAACACAAGCAGGGGGAGTGGGAGAGGGAGAAGCAGGCTTCCCGCGGAGCAGGGAGCCCGATGCGGGGCTCGATCCCAGGACCCTGGGATCATGACCTGAGCCGAAGGCAGACGCTTAACGACTGAGCCACCCAGGTGCCCCTGTGATCTCTAACTCTGAAACTGAGTGGCTTGTGAAGGATCCTTGGAACCGACCTTTCTGTGTCTCTGTACGATCTCAGCTTTGTGCCAGCTGCAGTACTGTGTCGCTTTCCTTTGCTTTTTTTTTTGTTTTAATATATATTTTTTAAAGATTTTTGTTTATTTGTTTGAGAGAGAGAGAAAATGGGGGGGGGCAGAATCAGAATCTCAGGCAGACTCCAAGCTGAGTGCAGGGAGCCTGATGCAGGGCTCAATCCTGTGACCCTGAGATCATGACTTAAGACAAAATCAAGAGACGCTTAACCAACTGAGCTACACAGGTGTCCCTATTTGTTTCAGTTTTTGGGATTTTTTTGTTTGTTTTTTGGTTTTTGGGTTTTTTTGGTGGGCAGCAAAGCAAAGTTTATTGAGCAATAGTAAAGTGATAGTACAAAGCCCCTGAAGAGGGAGGGGGCCTGAGAGGGTTGCCCGGTTTGAGTGTTTTGACCAAAGTTGTCTCCATGCCCAGATTGCTTCCCTAATCTTCTGTTTGTCATAAAGATCATGTTTTGGTGTTTCAACACTCATTACTCATTTAATAATGTCAGGACTTTTCTCGAATGTGTGATTTTTATGAAGCAGCTTATCGAAAGAGTTAAGACTACAGTACGTTGGCTGTATTTCAGTTCTCTTCGTTAGAGTTCCTTTGCATGAGACAAATCTGAAAACCACATTTTAAAACTGTATCCTGTCCTTTGGACAGTGGGAGAAAAGAACCAAGCCAATGGAATATTACACTTTTTAGGTTTTGAACCATATTAATATATTGCTTATTCACAAAATTTAATTAAATTGTATAGACTGAAGTTTTTTTTAATTTTTTTTTAAAGATTTTCTTTATTTATTTGACAGAGAGAGACACAGCGAGAGAGGGAACACAAGCAGGGGGAGAGGGAGAGGCAGGCCTCCTGCGGAGCAGGGAGCCCGATGTGGGGCTGGATCCCAGGACCCCGGGACCATGACCTGAGCCGAAGGCAGATGCCCAATGACTGAGCCCCCCAGGCGCCCTGAAGATTTTTTTTTTTAAAGATTTATTTGTTTTGGGGGCGCCTGGGGGCTCAGTCGTTAAGCGTCTGCCTTCGGCTCAGGTCATGATCTCAGGGTCCTGGGATCAAGC